ACATGGAGTAGGAAGCGAGATAGACCCATAGTTACTTTTGAGTAATCTCCATAGAATCACTTTCTGAGTTGATTTATGCATGTCAGTCCGTCTGTCCGTCCGTCCGTCCCTCTGTCCAAGTATTCTTGTGAACAAAATGCAGTTCGCCTTTATTATCCAAATGAGATGAAATTTTACACATATCATTTATTTGACCCAAGGACGAACCCAATTGAAATTGGAGATAATCGGTAAAAATTTAGATATAGCTACCATATATATCTTCGTCCGATTTGACTTTTATTGTGCACCAAACGTGTACTATCAGCCCGAATAGTATGGAATTTTGCACATGCAACCTACTTGAGTATAGAAGCTAGTATGCCAAATTTGGTGAAGATCGGTTCAGATATAGCTATAGCTCCCATATATATTGTTCTTCCGATTTGTTATTTTTATCTTCCGCAACCGTAATATGCACTTTGTAACAACAATATTTGGGGAAATGTGTCAAATGCAGCTCAGAAATATCTTTGCCAAATTTTATCGAGATCGGTTCGAATTTGGATATAACTCCCATACATAACTTCGTCCGATTTACCTTTTATTGTGCACCAAACGTCTAATATTTGTCCAAATGGGATGGAACTCGGCACATGCAACCTAATTGAGTCTAGAAGGTAGTATGCCAAATTTGGTGAAGATCGGTTCAGATATAGCTATAGCTCTCATATATATTGTTCTTCCGATTTGTTATTTTTATCTTCCGCAACCGTAATATGCACTTTGTAACAACAATATTTGGGGAAATATATCAAATGCAGCTCAGAAATATCTTTGCCAAATTTTATCGAGATCGGTTCGAATTTGGATATAGATTCCATATATAACTTCGTCCGATTTACCTTTTATTGTGCACCAAACGTCTAATATTTGTCCAAATTGGATGAAATTTGGCACATACCACCGAATTGAGTCTAGAAGCTAGTATGTCAAATTTGGTGAAGATCGGTTCAGATATAGCTATAGCTCCCCTATATATATTGTTCATCCGATTTGTCCGATTTTTGTCCTCCGCAGCCGGAATATGTACTCTGTAACAACAATATTTGGGGAAATGTGTCAAATGCAGCTCAGAAATATCTTTGCCAAATTTTATCGAGATCGGTTCGAATTTGGTTATAGCTTCCACATATAACTTCGTCCGATTTACCTTTTATTGTGCACAAAACGTCTAATATTTGCCGAAATGGGATGGAATTTGGCACATGCGACCTAATTGAGTCTAGAAGCTAGTATGCCAAATTTGGTGAAGATCGGTTCAGATATAGCTATAGCTCCCACATATATATTGTTCATCCGATTTGTCCGATTTTTGTCCTCCGCAGCCGGAATATGCACTCTGTAACAACAATATTTGGGGAAATATATCAAATGCAGCTCAGAAATATCTTTACCAAATTTTTTCGATATCGTTTCAGATATGGATATAGCTCCCATATATATATCTTTATCTGATTTCAAATTAATTTTGCACCAAATGGGCAATACAAGTCCGAATTTAAAAGATACAAATGCTTCGGCATATTTAGTCCTTTGAACTTTAAATTATACTTATAATCATAGCGTGGGTGATTGAATTCTCCCATAAAAACTTTTAATTGTTATGCGGAGCTCTACTAAAATAGCAAAGTGGTGTAGGGTATCATAAAGTCGTCCCTGCCCGACTTTAGGATTTTCTTTACTGTTTTTTTAATGTTTTCCGAAAAAAAGCGTAACCGAAAAGGCGTCTTGAAAACTGGTACTAAAAGTTACTAAAATGTACTAAATATTGTACCGCCAGTAACGGGCGGATTTTGAACAGACACAAACAGTATCAAAAGGTATTAAATGCTTTGCTTTTAAGATAAGGTGGTTGTTGAGGACTAAATCGCATTGTTGATACCTCCAAATGTCCTGAAACGGATTTGTTCCAAAGGGACCTATTGTCTAAAGCCGTTATTTCGATGAGGCACGTTTTGGCATATCACAAAAATTTTGAAAATTAAATCGGAAGCACATTTTTATACCCTCAGCCATATGGCTACAGACGATATGGCTGAGGGTATAAAAAATGTGCTTCCGATTTAATTTTCAAAATTTTTTGATAGTGCCAAGACGTACCTCATCGAAATAACGGTTTTTGGACCCTAGGTCCCTTTGGAACAAATTTAGGAACGATCAGGCAATATCCGTCCATCTGTCTGTCTGGCTGCTGCGCTTGATAACTCTCGCAGGGAGTATCCGATTTGGTTCAAACTTCGTACATCGTAATATTATTATCAAACTTAGATTGAGTTCGGAGATGGGCAATCTCGGTCTACTCTTTCTGCTACCTCCCCCATAAAAGCTTGAAATTTTCAAAAAAAATATTTAACTGCACAAACCGGGAAAGGATAATTGGATTATGCTCTAACTTTGCAAATCGAAATATTTGCATCAGTACTATGTCAGGTGCGAAAATGGACAATTTTGGTCCACTCCATCAGGTACCTCCCCCACAAAGGGTCAAAATTTTGAATAATTATAACTCTTATAAAATGTAATGTAAGAGTCCGATTGTCTTCAAATTACGCACCTCATAATAATTTTACTAACCCAAGGTCTCATGTTAAGTTGAACAATATCAGTCCACTCCTTCTGGTACCTCCCACACAAAAGGTCGAAATCTTCAAAAAATATATTTTTTTGCAAGGGAAGAGAAAGGATAATCTGATTTTTCTCCAACTTTGCAAATCCTAATATTTGCGTCAGTACTAGGTCAGGTGTGAAAATAGACAATGTCGGTCCACTCCTTCTGGTACCTCCCCCACAAAGGGTCAAAATTTCGAATACCCATGAAGCTCATAAAACACGCAATTGACATCCGCTTCCATTCAGAATTGGTACATCTCAATATTTCCATGAACACAAGATCTGTTATAAAGATGGTAGAGATCGGACCATCCCTTTCGGTACCTCCCCTATAAAGGGTAAAAGTTCTGAATAACCAAAATGATTATAAAATCTGAAATATGCATCCGGTTCTCTTCATATTTCACACATAACAATATTTTTATTATCCCAAGGTCTGGTGTGAATATGGAATATATCGGTCCACTGGTTCTGGTACCTCCCACACAAAGGTTCAGAATTTTGAATATCCACGAAGCCCATAAAACCCAAAATTAACATCCGATTCCATTCAAACTTCGCAAATCTCAATATTTCTATTAACACAAGATCTGTTATAAAGATGGTAGAGATTGGACCATTACATCTGGTACCTCCCCCACAAGGGGTCAAAGTTTTGAATAATCAAAACGATTATAAAATCCGAAATAAGCTTTCAGCTCTCTTCATATTTCCCACATCACAATATTTTTATGAACCCAAGGTCTGATGTAAAGATGGTACAGATCGACCCACTGCTTCTGGTACCTCCCCCACAAAAGGGTCAGAATTTTGAATGTCCATGAAGCTCATAAAACGCGAAATTAACATCCAATTCCATTCAGACTTGCCACATCTCCATATTTCCATCAACACAAGATCTGTTATGAAGATGGTAGGGATCGGACCATTCCTTCTGGTACCTCCCCCACAAAGGGTCAAAATTTTGAATAACCAAAACGATCATAAAAACCCGAAATAAGTATCCGGTTTAATTCATATTTCACACATGACAATATTTTGATTAACCCAAGGTCTGGTGTAAAGTAGGGATGTATCGGTCTACTGATTCTGGTACCTCCCTCACAGAGGGTCAAAATTTTGAATATCCATGAAGCTCATAAAACGCGAAATTAACATCCGATTCCATTCAGACTTGGTACATCTCAATATTTTCGTCAACACAAGATCTGTTATAAAGATGGTAGTGATCGGACCATTCCTTCTGGTACCTCCCCCACAAAGGGTCAAAGTTTCGAATAACCAAACCGATTATAAAATCCGAAACAAGCATCCGGTTCACTTTATATTTCACACATGACAATATTTTCATCAACCCAAGATCTGGTGTGAATCTGAAATATATCGGTCCACTCCTTCTGGTACCTCCCCCACAAAGGGTCAAAATTTTGAATACCCACGAAGCTCATAAAACACGAAATTGATATCCGATTCCATTCAGAATGGGTAAATCTCAATATTTCCATCAACACAAGGTGGTAGAGGTCGGACCATTCCTTCTGGTACCTCCCCCACAAAGGATCAAATTTTTGAATAACCAAAATGATTATAAAAGCTGAAATAAGTATCTGGTTCTCACATCCCATTTTTTTCCTAATTTCCCCACATAACCCCATTTGAGTTTGGTGGTCAGTAGACCGACCTCCTGCATCTCAATTTTTTCTAAGAAATTGGTTTTAAGTTTCATTTTAATGGCTTTATGGCATCATCCACAACATTGCCTTGGCTAAGTAATTTATGGTGGCCCCCTTCGTAGACAAACAACAAATATTTCATTTATTTTCCAAAAAAAGAAAAATAAAAAACCGCCAGACATCCAGCCAACCAACCAACATCATCATCATCCTTAGCTTCACTTGGTGGCTAACCTTTGTAAGCAATCTGTAATGGCTACTCTGTTAACTTTGGTGGTTTTCCTGGAGAATTACTCTTTACTCTTCTCCTCTCCCTCCACTACTCTCATGATTTTCTCTTGAGCAATTTTTGTGTGGGGAAAACAATTTTCATTTGAAAATTGAAAATAAATCTATTTTCCAGGTTTGTTTGTCTGGTCCAAGTACCACCTGTCTGCCACCGAGACCCCCTGTTTCGTGGGAGGTCCATTCATGGCCCTCGAGCGAACGAAATGGACGAAGAACAAACATTGGAGTAAAACAAAATGATTTTGGCTGGATTTTTTTTTATACCAACAAATTGCTGAATTGCATTTTCAGAAAATGGCTAAATAAATGGAAAATAAATTGAAAACAAAGAAAGAAAAAAGTGATAGATATAAAAATTCCCACACAAACAGGTGATATATTGCTTACATATTCTGGACCCAGCAGCATATTCAAATGGTCATTTTTCCTGGAAAGAAAGAAAAAGAAAAAACCATGAGAAAAATTGATTAAAAATCTAAAGCAAAAAAAAAGGGTTTCCAATAAATGTCGTGAAACAATTTACATAAATTCATAATTTTTTTCAATGTTTCTTGTGAATTAACTGCTTTCGCACCAAAGACAACAAAGAGCCTTAATATGTTCTCTTCCGAAAGCGATTTTCCACTTAAAAATCGACTTAGAAATCTCCAAGTTATGGGCATTTTATTGCAACTACCCATGTATTAATAATGCTCATACGCTCGAGGGGACGGAAATTAAAAAAAAGTATTTCAGTGATAAAGAGGTAACATTATCAAAATCCGAACCTGGATTTTTCAAGGCTTTTTGAAGGTGTCCCAACGTACAACTTCAACGTAATTTCCATGGGTCAATTTGAATTATTTTGCTGAAAATTTTCCAAAATGTCCAAAACTTGTGAGTCAATTTGCATAAATTTTTCAATTTTTCCATTTTTGTTTTTTTTTTTTTCAATTTTTCCATTCTGCCTCGAATCCGAAGGCAATAAAGAGCCTCAATATGTTCTCTTTCCAAAGCAATTTTCTGATTAAAAATCGACTTAGAAACTTCGAAGTTATGCACATTTTATTGCAATCACCCATTTATTAATAATACTCATACGCTCTAGTGAACTTAAAAAAAAAACAATTCATTTTAGTGAGGAGGTACAATTTTCAAAGTCCGAACGTGGATTTCCAAGGCTTTTTGAAGGTGTTCCAATGTAGATTTTGAAAGCAATTTCGGTGGATCCATTTGGGTCTTTTTGCTTAGTTTTCCAATTCTTCTAAAAGTCGTAAATCAATTTGCATAAATTCTTAAATTTTTCCATTTTTTCTCATAAATTATCTGGCTCCAATCCGAAGGCAATAAAGAGCCTTATTATGTCCTCTTTCAAAAGCAATTTTCTGTTTAAAAATCGTCTAAGGAATGTCGAAGTTATGGGCATTTTATTACAACAATCCATTTATTAATAATACTCATACGCTCTAGTGGACTTAGAAAAAAACAGTTCATTTTAGTGGGAAGGAGGTAACAATATCACAATCCGAACGTGGATTTTTCAAAGCTTTTTGTGGTGTCCCAATGTGGATTTTCAACGCAACTTTCATGGGTCCATTTGGATTATTTTGTTAAAGGTTTTTCAAAACTTCCAAAAGTTGTAAATCAATTTGCATAAATTCTTCAATTTTTTCCATTTTTTCTCATAAATTATCGGCCTCTAGCCCAGAGACAATAAAGAACCTTAATGTATCCTCTTTCCAAAGTAATATTTGGATTAAAAATCGACTAAGAAATCTCCAAATTATGGTCATTTTATTACAACCATCCATGTATTAATAATACTCATACGCTTGAGTGGACTCAGAATAAAACATTTAATTTTAGTGAGAAGGAGGTAACATTATCGAAGTCCAATCATAAATTTTTCAAGGCTTTTTGTAGGTGTTCCAATATGGATTTTCAACTCAATTTCCATGGGTTCATTTGAATTATTTTGCTTAAGGTTTTCCAAAACTTCCAAAAGTTGTAAATCAATTTGCATAAATTCTTCAATTTTTTTATATTTTCTTATAAATTATCTACTTCCAGACCACAGGCAATAAAGAGCCTTAATATGTCCACTTTCAAAAGCAATTACCCGCTTAAAAATCGACTAAGAAACCTCCAAGTTATAGGCATTTTATTACAACCACCAATTTATTAATAATACTCATACGCTCTAGTGGACTTAGAAAAAAATAATTTATTTTAATAAGGAGGAGGTAACATTATCAAAGTCCAAATATGGATTTTTCAAGGAGTTTTGAAGGTGTCCTAATGTGCAATTTCAACGCAATTTCAATGGATCCATTTGGATTATTTTGTTAAAGGATTTCCAAAACTTCTAAAAGTTGTGAATCAGTTTGCATAAGTTCTTCAAATTTTCCATTTTTCTTTGTAAGTTATCTATCTTCAATCCAAAGGCAATAAAGAACCTTAATATGTCCTCTTTCCAAAGCAATTATCCGCTTAAAAATCTGCTAAGAAATCTCCAAGTTATGGACATTTTATTGCAACCACCCATTTATTAATAATACTCATACGCTCTAGTGGATTTATAACAAACAATTCATTTTAGTGAGAAGGAGATAACATTATCACAATCCGAACGTGGATTTTTCAAGGCTTTTTAGAGGTGTCCCAATGAAGATTTTCAACGCAATTTCCTTGGGTCTATTTTTGTTATTTTGCTTAGGGTTTTCCAAAACTTCCAAAGGTTGTGAATCAATTTGCATAAATCTTTCAATTTTTCCATTTTTTCCCATAAATTATCTGCCTCCAATCCGAAGGCAATAAAGAGCCTCAATATGCCCTCTTTCAAAAGCTGTTTTCCGTCCAAAAATCGACTAAGAAATCTCCAAGTTATGGGCATTTTATTGCAACCACCCATGTATTAATAATACTCATACGCTCTAGTGAACTTAGAAACAAATAATTTATTTTAGTGAGACAGAGGTAACATTATCCAAGTCCGAAAGTGGATCTTTCAAGGCTTTTTGAATGTGTTCCAATGTAGATTTTCAAGGCAATTTCCATGGGCCCATTTGGATTATTTTGCTTAAAGTTGTTCAAACTTCTAAAAGTTTTAAATCAATTTGCATATATTTTTCAATTTTTCCATTTTTCTTATAAGTTATCTCTCTCCTAACCTGAGACAATAAGGAGCCTTAATATGTCCTCTTTCCAAAGTAATTTTCCGCTTAAAAATTAACAAAGAAATCTCCAAGTTATAGGCATTTTATTACAACAATCCATTTATTAATAATACTCATACGCTCTAGTGGACTTAGAACGAACAATTGATTTTAGTGAGAAGGAGGTAACATTATCAAAGTTCGAACGTGGATTTTTCAAGGCTTTCTGGAGGTATGCCAATGTGAAATTTCAACGCAATTTCAATTGGTCCATTGGGTTATTTTTCAGAAGGTTTTCCAAAACTTCCTAAAGTGGTGAATCAATTTGAAAAAATTCTTCAATTTTTCCATTGGTTCTTATAATTTAACTGCATCCAATCCGAAGACAACAAAGAGCCTTAATATGCCCCCTTTCAAAAGCAATGTCGAAGTTATGGACATTTTATTGCAAGTACCCATGTATTAATAATGCTCATACGCTCTAGTGGATTTATAACAAAAAATTCATTTTAGTGAGAAGGAGGTAACATTATCTAAGTTCAAGGCTTTTTGAAGGTGTTCCAATGTGGAATTCAAAGCAATTTCCATGGGTCCATTGGGTTATTTTTCAGAAGGTTTTCCAAAAGTTGTAAATAAATTTGCATAAATTCTTAAATTTTTCCATTTTTTCTTGTAAGTTATGTGCCTTAGACCAGAGACAATAAAGAGCCTTAATATGTCCTCTTTCAAAAGCAATTTTCGGATTAAAGATCGTTTAAGGAATCTCGAAGTTATGGACATTTTATTGCAACTTCCCACGTATTAATAATAATCATACGCTCTAGTGGGCTCAAAATAAAACTTTTATTTCATGGCGAAGGAGATGACTTTTTGTTTGAATTTTTTGAAAAATTTATTAAATATTTTACTTTGTTTCACTATTAAAAACTATTTTGAGTATTGAGGAATTTGATTTTTTTAAAATTCTTTCAAGGTAATTTCAAGCAAACCGAACGTTTTGTTAAATTTACCACGCTTTGAGTTTTCTAACAGGATTTCTGCATCCATGTCAACGACAATAAAACCCCCTATTGTGTTTTCTTTCAAAAACAATTTTCCTTTCAAAAATCGTCTAAATAATCTCAAAGTTATAGGCATTTTATTACAACTATCCATGTATTAATAATACTTATACGCCCTAAGGGTCCCACAATAAAAATTCAATTTCATGGCAAAGAAGATGACTGTTTGCTTGATTTTTTTGAGAAATTTATTGAATAGTTTTTAACGTTTCACTATTCAAGGCTATTTTGAGTACTTGGAATTTTGAAGGCTATTTAGAGCAGTTCATTGCTCGAAATTTCAATGAAATTTTGAAGGCCGTTAGTTGAAAAAAATGAATCTATAGAAAAATGAATTCCATTGTATATTTTTGAAAGTCGCATCGAGTTAGGTGGCCTAGTGTCTACAACAGCTGTTTCTGAATTCTTTGTGGGCCATATTTATTGCTCTGTAAATAATGGCCTAAACATTCGGCTGTTATTCGAAAGTTCAAGGTTATTTGAAGAAAAAAATATTAGAAAGGGACGTTGGGTGCAACAAAATTTTTTGGTTGAAAACAATTATTAATTTTCGTCTGAAAACTGTATCCTCAAACCTCCTATATCTTTGCTTTGTATAAGAAATTTCTGCAATTGTCCTCCACTACCACCAAAAAATTCTCATTCTTCTGCATAGCCCTTTTATCGAAAGCGACCAATTGTCTCAACGGCTGGCACTAGAAAACATGGCGAATTTTTTCCAGACTATTAAATGCCTGCTTACAAAAAATTTTCTCTCCTCAATTCTACCTCAACCCCCCTTCCTAGCCATCTCCGTATACAAATGCAATCAAAATCGAAACCATAAACAATTCTCGAAACGAAATTGTTCGTTCAACGCCAAAATGTCTGGGACGTCAAACGTGCTGCTACTGCACTTTTGGCATAGTTGCAACCAAAAACAAACAAAAAAACCGTCGCTAAAAACGAAGACAAAGAAGAAAAGAACAAAAAAAGAAATATGATAAAGCTATACAAGACAAATACACAAATATTACTTTCCTCAAAAAAAAAAAAACGTCTGCAGCCAACTAGACTTTCGACACTGTCGTCATCAATGCTTGGCTTCCGTTTTTTTTTTTTTTTTTTTGCTTTTTCTGGAGGGGAGGTTTGTACTAACTTTGTACGTTGATATTTTTTGCCATTCTTCTTTGTTTTTTCTTCTTCAATTTTTTTCCTGCAGTTTGCATTTTTTTTTCCTCGGTGGAGGAATA